TTTCGCTACTGGTAGGAATAAAAAATGAATCAGAATCTGATGGAAAGAGGGGGATAAGGTTGATTGTTTGACGGTGACGATCAGACATTCACACTTGCATTATCATTCTGAATCATACAAGTGATGGGAGTCGGTGGAGGAAAATGAACCCGGATATTGACTAGTGTGGCCGCTGAAAGCATCAACGGACACGGTCTATCAGAGTCGAAATTGTTTCTGTTCCGAAGGTTACCAATTCGAATGACACCAGCACTGTGTACGGTGTAAAAAAGTTAGAGAGGTTGACCATGCTGTATTCATAACATGTTCTGGAGCAATGGGACTGTGACTATGCGCATATATAAGAAGAGCCTCTCACTCTTTTTTGAAAACTTTGCATGCTGTGCGTTTCATGTGTGACAAACGTAGTCGGAATGTATAGTTCTGTCCGCCACTTGCGCTCGATCCCAACATCAGTTAACTGACCAGCTCCGACAGCGGACTAATAATTGAGAGAGTGAGGTCGACCCCGGGCACTCGGGCACCACAATACTGCAGCGTACTTTCTTACAATCATAAATCTCATGCGCTTTGAAACTATCACGACGAGCTAAACATCGTGGCTTGAAAGGCTGCCAAGTGGTGGGATAATTTGGCCTTCTCAGGAAGTAGAGCTAGGCTGCAATGGTTCCTTAATAACGTGGCCTCCCTAGTACCATCATCCAGATAGGATCCGAACCGACCACTTACTGTTTCAGTGAAAACGTTATCCATCGTGGATCAGAACATGTGGCACGCATAGACGGCCATCCCAACTTTGTTTTCTTTCGGTTCCAGGTTAGTTGGGTGAGGAGAGAGTGCAGTAAATGCTATGCAAGTCCGGTATCACCATACCCTGTTTCACTTGTAAGTCATCGTTCTGCGGCCACATGGCTGCGAGGCAAAACGGTGGGCATTATGGGTTGCGACGGTCGAACTGTCATCTCAAGCAGGCGATTTGCGATGAAGGAGGGAGAAAAAACCATCTGCCCACCCGACGCCAGAGTGATACTGATCGAAAAACCCAGTTGACAAATATAGCGCAGGTACTGAGTTACAGTAAAAGTCACCTAACCCACCGCAAACGCGTTTGCATAAAAAAGTTATATCGGAGTGTTGTGGAGCACTATACTGAAGCAGAAAACAAAACTATCGGATTAAAGCACACCTAAGGGATGGTCATTGGGAATGGTTACGCGCCAAACTTTATGAACAGATGTATAGCTCATCAGTCCCAACTGCTGTCGTTAAGATGCTCTTAGAAGCCGTCAGCCGCCTTCTCACACCACTTGGATTTGCATCCAAACTAGGGCAACCTATCAGATGTCAAATAATGAGGTTGCATGTCCCACTAAACAGAGGGGAAGCTTCTGAAGGCGGTTACCGCATTTGGCGTAGTTATGGACACCGCAACTATGCCGAAGGAACCGGAAACTATTCTGGAAGCAGAAAGCTGAACAAGCAACAACATTGAGGGCGAATGACTTCAGTTCTCCGGCCGCAGTTCATTTGGCCGGGCGTGGTCACACCTTGAAGTTCGATGGGTCTGAGGTTCTTGTGAACAGTGATAAACGCATGATGCGTGAGCTGCTTGGGTCATGATGTCCCAGCCAAAAGTTCAGTAACAAACTGACTGACATTCCACACTGAAACTTCGCCTGGACAGAATAATCGATCAAACTGCAAGGACACGGGCAAATGGCGCTTTCAGTGATACTATCAGCGATCCAATTTGCTGAATAATTATCTAGCCACTAGTAAAAACCGGCGATAAGATTGCGACAAGTAAACACTCGGCTGTGGTACGTGCGGGAGCTGCTAGTGATGATAAGTAAACGGTGTCATGAAAAGTGCGTCCTATAAATAACGCGTCTCAGGTGTTTTCTGCACTCATATATATGGCTGTCTCTGATGGTGTTCGGGAAGATAGTAAAATAATCAGGCTATGAAAATTCTCATTTGATCGAGCGCATCCCTGGTTTTTTCAACTTCTTCATGCAAGGCACTTTTTCGCTTGCACTGACAAGAACGAGAAGACAAAATGGTCGACAGTATCCATAACCATGTTCGCAGCAGGTCAGCGGGGCGGTTAGCTCTCTCTCGGTGAAGTTGCGTGAACCTGGGACCGTGGACAGCATTGTCAACCGTCCGTCACAGTCTTCCCAATAGAAGAAGCATGATTCATAGTGAAATAAGGTTACCGTTTAAGTGGATAGCACGGCCCTTTTGAGGGATAAACTGCTTACCCTTCGTAGGGAAAGATCCAGACAGAATACACCAAACTTTCGGTAAAATATTCGACAACAGTAGTTTATGTATTGCACCTCATTAATCCCTAGTCCCAGCATTTTGTCCCACGAAAACGGTGGTTATGGGGCTTTTTGGATGGGGAATTAGGATAGGCAGTGG